CAAAAAATCTGAAAAAAAAAAAGTTTCTTTGTTTCTATTATAAAATTTTTCAAACAGGCATTTTTTCTCCTTCACTGATGTGCGTTGAGGCAGCACTGATGGGCACTGATAGGCAGCACTAAAGGGCACTGATAGGCAGTACTAATGAGGTGGCACGGATAGGCGGCACTAATATGCAGCACTGATAGGCGGCACTGATAGGTGACACTGATGATGGGTACTGATAGACGGCACTGACTGGCATCACTGCTGGGCACTGACTGGCACAACCCGGGCACTGACTGGTGGCACAACCAGCACTGCTGGGCACTGCACTGGTGGGTGACACAGGTGGCAGCACTGCTGGGCTGCACTGGTGGGTGGCACAGGTAGGGGCACTGCACACAGGTGGGCGGAGCTAGTGGGCGCACTGCTGGGCACAGGTGGGCGGAACTTGCGGGTGGCACTGCTGGGCACCGATCATCAGGGCACTGATCATCAGTGCCCTGATGATCGGTGCCGATCCCCGCTCTGACAACTGCTGGTTCTCGGCAGTACTTTCCTCACGATCTGACAGCGTGAGGAAAGTGCAGCCGAGAACCGGCACTTGCATTTCCCTCTGATCAGCGTATCATTGGACACCGCTAATCAGGTGGTAAAAGGCCGCTGTGATTGGCCTTTTACCACATCACGTGATCAGCTGTGTCCGTAGGACACAGCGATCACGGAGATCGCCGGGTGCGCGCGCGCCCCCTGGGGCGCGCAGGAGAGCGCGTGTTCTGGGGGGACGTCATATGACGTCCACTCAGAACTGGCCGGCCGCAGTGAAGCCATCATTCGGCTATCTGCGCTCGGCAGGTAGTTAAAGGCTGAACTCCAGCCTCACCTCCAGTCTTGCAGTTCTATAATCTTCTCCACTCTTCTGACATTGCTCTCATTTCATTGCAGATATAGTGTGCTTCCCATAGTATAAATTAGGAGTTGCTGCAAGTCAGATAGAGTCCACGCCATTTCCTGCCTGAAAGACTCTCAGCACCATCTAGCACTTTCTAGTGACTAACCTTTCTGTCAATGACCCATTCATTCACTAGATCTCAATTCTTTCAATTATAGAGGCTCAGCATCACATATGGGCATTAGCAGTGTTTCCTGTTTCAGGAAATTATGTGCAGGATCCTACCAGCCCTTTCCACCAGCCATGAGATCTACTGCATTGATTGCATAGAGAAGCGCAGAGACCCAGTTGATGATAATGACTGAGTTTAACATTGGGTATGCAATAAAAACAGAAGGATTTCATAACTTCACTAATATCTTAACCCCTTCACGCCTAAGGGTAAAAACAAATCCCGTTTCAGGAAATTATGTGCAGGATCCTACCAGCCCCCAAAATCCACCAGCCATGATCTACTGCATTGATTGCATAGAGAAGCGCAGAGACCCAGTGATGATATGACTGAGTTTTTTTAAATCATTGGGTAACCCTGCAAACTAAAAACAGAAGGATTTCATAACTTCACTTTTTTTTTTTTTTTTTTTATTTATTAATATCTCTCTAATGAGAGTGGGATACAATGTATCTCTCTTCTCCAGGGGAGAAAAAAATATAGGCAATCAGAGGCTATTTGACCCGGAATCGGGACGCTTTTAAAGTAGTAATAAAGTCCAAAAATATGCGGACTAAAGCTCCATATTTGTGTGTTATGACACGGGTTAATGAGCTCAGTAGTGAGCACAAGACACGCAGCTCAGTAGTGAGCACAAACTGTGTGTCCCCATAGCAAGTGACTTACTATGGGAACACAGAAGAGGAGCCTAGATCACTAGCGAGGGACCCTAGAAGAGGAGATTTAGGGCCTCTCTGCAATACCACTGCACAGAACAGGTGAACAGAACATGTTTATTATTTTAATTAAAACATATTTGCCTTTATTAACACTAAGTACGTATTCTGAGGATTAAGGTTTCACTCAGTGCACTTTTTTGTAAAAGAAATGTGCATTGTTAATCTTTACCCCTTAAAAAAATAAATAAATAATAATAATACAATTTCCCTGGCTGTTTGAACTTTAAAGAGTAACTCCAATTTTGTTGAGGAAAAAAAAAAAATTCTCCTCTGGGTGATCTATGTACATTGTAGGGTTTTAACAAAATTTTGTTGGTTTCCTAAATTGTGTTATTCTGCAAAAACAGCTGTTTGCTTGTCTGTCTCCACGTGCAAAGTTAATGTAATTGACTATTATCAGATGCTGCAATTGCAGGGCTTTAATGAGGAAAGTGGCAGGGTCTGCATCCCTTAAGACATGATTTCCCTTTAGGAGTAAATCACCAAAAATGACATGTTTGTTGCAGGGGCTACCCAAAATTTGACTTGTATCTTAGTGCAGGCTTCTGGGAAAATCAGTGAGCCTCAAGCAAGAAATTACATTTCTGGTGGGCATTCTGTACACAATTACAATATGAGTTGTGTCTCAATTGTATATGCGATATAAAAAAAAAAAATATATATATATATATATATATATATATATATATATATATATATATATATATATATATTATTTTTTTTTTTTTTTTTTAATTTGGACACAGGCACAATTTTCCCACTTATTGGCTCTGTATGCCACCAGAATAAATTAAAACGAAAATCCAAATGAATTTGTGGTGCAGACTTTAATTCAAGGGGTTGAACATAAGTATAAAGTCACACAGTCACAGTCACTCCTTTCTCAGGGGCTCAAATGTAATTGGACAAATGAATATCATAAAGAAAAAAAAAATGTTCATTTTTATTATTTTGCTGAGAATACTTTACTGGCAAGGACTGCCTGAAGTGTGGAACCCATGGACATTACCAAAGACTGGGTTTCCTCGTGATGCTTTGCCAGGCTCTAACTGCAGCTCTTTTCAGTTGTCCTTTGTAGGTCTTTCTGCCTTTAGTTTTGCCTTCAGCGAGTGAAATGCATGCTCAATTGGATTGAGATCAGGTGCTTGACTCGGCCATTGCAGAATATTCCACTTCTTTTCCTTCAAAAGCTTCTCAGTTGCTTTTGCAGTGTGTTTTGGATCACTGTCTATGTGTACTGTGAAGTGCCGTCCAATCAACTTTGCTGCATTTGGCTGAATCTGGGCTGACAGTATATCTCTAAACACTGCACAATTCATCCAGCTGCTTCTGTCACATCATCAATAAACACCAATGACCCAGTGCCACTGGAAGCCATGCATGCGCATGCAATCACACTGCCTCTACCATGTTTTACAGATGAGGTTGTGTGCTTTGGATCATGAACAGTTTCCAAGCCTTCTTCACACTTTTTTCTTCCCGTCATTCTGGTACAGATTAATTGTAGTTTCATCTGTCCAGAACTGATCTGGATTTTTTAGATTTTTTTTTGGCAAAGTCTAATATGCCTTTTCTATTCTTCAGGCTTATGAATGGTTTGCACATTGTGGTGAACCCTCTGTATTTGCTCTCATGAAGTCTTCTCTTGATTGTAGACTTTGACAACGATATGCCCACCTCCTGGAGAGTGTCCTTCACTTGTCTGGATGTTGTGAATGGGATTTTCTTTACCATAGAGAGGATCCTGCGATCATCCAACACTGTTGTCTTCCGTGGACATCCATGCCTTTCTATGCTGCTGAGCTCACCAGTGCATTCTTCTTTCCTCAGAATGTACCAAACTGTTGATTTGGCCACTCCTAATGTTGCTATCTCTCTGATTGATTTGTTTCATATTTGAATCCTTACAGTGGCCTGTTTCACTTGCATGGACAGCTCCTTTGAACGCATGATGTAGGTTCACAGCAATAAATTCTAAATGCAAATACCACACTTAGAATCAACTCCAGACCCTTTACCTGCTCAATTGAAGAATAACGAAGGAATAGCCCACACCTGGCCATGAAACAGATTTTGATTCAATTGTCCAATTACTTTTGGTCCCTTGAAAAAGAGGGGGATGGACGGCTACTCTTAAGAGCTGTAATTCCTAAACCCTTCCTCCAATTTGGATGTACATACCATCAGATTGGGCAGGTGACCAACATCCTCCATATTAACTGATGGCATCATTGGTTGTTAGGACACCGGCGGCTTGAAGGTTGTAATTGTTCACAATAAAAACCTATGGCTTTGTGTAACTAAAAGGCAGGCTTGATCCACCTGCTGATTTGTATACAATTTTTGGGCAATTTTTAAGCAAGTGTTAACTTCAAGCAAAATTCTTGGTTCACCATTACAAATTTTCTAACTGGAGGTAGAGAGAACATTACAAACAACGTTTAAATGTCTAACCTCTTACCTAGAAATAAATGCCTTCGAGGTCTATTTATATAGTTTTCACACAAGATTCCCACATTTTTCTAAATAAACCTAATAAGAAAAATGTGTGAATCATGGTTGAAAGCTGTGTGAAAACATTGATAACTAGAGACCTATAAGTGTTTTACACTATAGCAAAAATTAACATGTTTCACATTTTATCCTATCTTTTGATACAAAGGTTTTAAATAAAAATTGATCGATGTGAGAACCCCTGTCTGCATTAAAAAAGAAAAATGAATGCATTCATCACATATAAGAATTGGTAAGCTGCAATATAATAAATATTTGCTTTTGGATTTAATACTGGAAGGGATCGGAAAACTCCACAAAAGTGGACAAAGGTGGTAATAAAATTCCCAGTCATTCTAACCCCTCTCTGAATGCTTTTAAAAGTAGTATGAGTGGTAAATTTGGCTGCAAAGCCAGAAATGCTAGTCAAAGATATGGTCTTGAAAGTCTAAATGCTGCATTACTACTACTGCACTGCAATTAGTCAATTGACAGAAGTTCCCAATAGAGAGAGTCCTGGTGCTAAATGTACATTTTGCAGGCTCTTGGTAAGAACAGAAAATTACTTCAGCCACACAAGTGTTAAGGCCACAAGTACTGAGGAAAAAAATACAACATACAAAATAAAAACAAAAACACAATTAAAAAAGAAAAAAAAATTCACACTTGTGGCATCACCCACCAGCTGATGGTCCAGTAAAGTCAGTTCCTGAACTCCTGCTAAGATAAGATTCTTTGCCACTTCAGCACCCAAACCTCTCATGCCAACCAGAAGAACTTTGGATTTGCGAAGCCTAAAAGAGGGGGAAAACAAAAAGTAAATGGTAAAAAACAGACTTCATAAACACTTTCTGTACATAAACGCTTCCTGAAATAATACAAACACCTCATGATTGCCATTTAGCACACTGAGAACATTACCACTTGCCTACAGGGGCAATTTTAAACATTTTTTGGCACATGCTAAAATCTTCATTGCTTGGAATTGTGACATCGCCAGAAACAGTCAAGAATCTCATGTATTCTCTACTTCCAATAAATAAAGAAAAAAAAAAAAGAAGGAAGGGGTGGGGAATGGCTGGAATTGTACTTTAAACTATATGTAAACCCTCACTATGCAAAACAACCCATTCAGTTTAAAATTATAGATGAAAGTTAAAACGTGTATGTATGTATATACATATACACACAGACACACTATATTGCCAAAAGTACTGGGACGCCTGCCTTTACACGCACATGAACTTTAACGGTATCCCAGTTTTAGTCCATAGGGTTCAATATTGAGTTGGCCCACCTTTTGCAGCTATAACAGCTTTAACTCTTGTGGGAAGGCTGTCCACAAGGTTTAGGAGTGTGTCTATGGGAATGTTTGACCTTTCTTCCAGAAGTGCATTTGTGTGGTCAGGCACTGATGTCAGACAAGAAGGCCTGGTTTACAGCATCTGCTCTAATTCATTCTAAAGGTGTTCTATCTGGTTGGGTCACCCCAAACTTGCTCATCCATGTCTTTATGGACCTTGCTTTGTGCACTGGTGCACTGTCATGTTGGAACAGGAAGGGGCCATCCCAAAACTCTTCCCACAAAGTTGGCAGCATGAAATTGTCCAAAATGTCTTGGTATGATGATGTCTTAAGAGTTCCCTTTACTAGAACTAAGGGGCCAAGCCCAACCCCTGAAAAAAACAAAAAATCCACACTATAATCCCCCCTACAACAAACTTTACACTTGGCACAATACAGTCAGGCAAGTACCATTCTCCTAGCAACCACCAAACCCAGACACGTCCATAGGATTGCCAGACAGAGAAACGTGAATCATCACTCCAGAGAACACTGCTCTAGAGTCGAGTAGTAGCATGCTTTACACCACTGCATCTGACGCTTTGCATTGCACTTGGTGATGTAAGACTTGGATGCAGCTGCTCGGCCATGGAAACCCATTCCATGAAGCTCTCTACACACTGTTGTGCTAATCTGAAGGCCACACGAAGTACTGAAGTCTTTACCTATCGACTCTGCGGACAGTTGGTGACTTCTGTGCACTCCAGCATGTGCTGACCCCACTCTATCATTTTACGTGGCCTACCACATCCTGGCCGAGTTGCTGTTGTTCCCAGTTGCTTCCACTTTGTTCTAAAACCACAAACAGTTCACCGTGGAATATTTAGAAGGAAGAAAATTTCACAGATGGCCTTATTGCACAGGTGGCAACCTATCACAGTACCACGCATGAATTCACTGCTTGATTCACTAAGGTGCTTGATATTATATACCCGTGGCCATGGAGGCGATTGGAACACCTGAATCCAATACTCTTATAGATAGAGAGATATCTATCTATATCTATCACTTTCACCTGGCAGTACAAGGGTCGTAGTGCCGCATGGGTTTCCTCCAGGTACTCTGGTTTCCTCCCACACTCCAAAGACATGCTGGTAGGTGTCTATCTATACACACACACACACACGCGCTATAAAAAGTCTACACACCCGTTAAAATGTCAGGTTTCTGTGGTGTAAAAAAAAAAAAAAAAAAAAAAAAAAAAGAGAAACATTAATCATGTCAGAACTTTTTCAACTTTAATGTGACCTATAAACTGTACAGCTCAATTGAAAAATAAAATGAAATCTTTTGGGGGGGGGGGAGAAAAACTAAAATAATGTGGTTGCATAAGTGTGCACACACTCTAATCACAGCTGATCACTATGTTAACACACTTGCCGGTTATCGGCAGTACTTTCCTCACACTGTCACAGAGTGAGGAAAGTACTGCTAGTAACCGACAAAACAGACATCGGCACTGATTATCAGTACAGCCCCAAAAGTGCTCAGCAGTGCCAGTCAGTTCCCTTCAGTGCAGCATTATCAGTGCCTCCTCATCAATGCCCACCAGTGCCGCCTTATCAGTGCCTCCTCATCAATGCACATCAGTGAAGAACAAAAATTACCTGTTTGCTAAATTTTATAATAGAAAAAGAAAACAGTTTTGAAAGTGTTTGCTCTTTTTCCCCCCATTTATAGCACAAAAGAAAACATCCAATGATGATTAAATACCAAAGGAAGTTCTATTTGTGTGAAAAAAAAATAAAAAAATGTAAATTTGGTACAGTGTTGCATGACCGCACAATTGTCGAAGTGTGAGCGCTGAAAAGTGGCCTGGGCAGGAAAGGGGTAAAAGTGCCCGGTAAGCAAGTGGTTAACTAGTTCAAAGCTGCAACTAATTCAAGGCTAAGCGCCACCCACTGACCAATCAGAGTGTCTCTACCGGCTGCTGAGGTAACCTGACGGGACAGTGCAATGGCAGGTGGCACAGCTCAGCCATGACACCAAGTTTATATAGAGAGGTAACAAAATAGACCTAAATCAGTGAACACACTGCTCCACACAAGGCTCTCCTGGGACAGACCATTGGTGGTGTATGCTCCCAGGCTGGGCTTTTCCGGAGAACACTCCTCACATGTTAAACAAGTCCCAGCCTGGACTGTACTGTCCCCCTCTGGAAGGATCACCATTCTCTGCATGCTCTGTTCAGGTGAAACTACAACTCCCAGCATGCCAGAGCACAGAACTCAGGACCTGAGCCCCGCAGGGAATGCTGGTAGTTGTAGTCCCAGCACAACGACTAGTACTGATGTAAAGTACTAGAAGACTGGTCGTGCAGTGTTCTCGGTCCAGTCACCTATTCTGCGCCTCCAGCCCCCACAGGCGGATCTGGCGGTCGTACTGCGCGGCCTCCTCCTCGCTTATCACCGCCTGCTCTTTTTCCACCATCTTCTCCCGCCGTTCCTCACACACCGAATGAATGGAGGACAACGGGGGGCGGGACCCGGATGCGTCACTACCTAATTGCCGGCCCACGTGACGTTGTCCTCTTTCCTCTGACGCGTCACTTGAGCCTTTCCCTAGCAAGGATTGGATGATTGATAGGTGAGTTTACATAGAGACACGGCGCCCTCTAGTATGTGAAGTGCTTACTGCAAGCCTTGTGTTGACAGACGTACTATAGGAAAGCTGTGCGCCTAGCTACAATATCGCCCTCTAGTGTGTAAAGTGCTCACAGCAAGCCTTGTGTAAATAAAAAATGTGCTAATACCAGTTGGCGCCTAGTTACACAGCGCCCTCTACAGCGTGTGAGGTGCTCATGATTGCCAACTAGTCGCAACAGCGCCCTCTAATGTGTGTAGTGCTTACTGCAAACCTCGTCTACATAAAAATGTGCCAATACGCCTAGTTACACAGCACCCTCTATAGCGTGTGAGGTGCTCACTGCAACCCTATACGAGAGTGGCATGTGCGAATGACGCCTAGTCACAACAGCGCCCTCTAATGTATGGAGTGCTCACTGCAAACCTTGCGGGAAGATACAGGAGCTAGTTTAGCAGTGACTAGATATTGGTGCTGACTGTACCTGCATAGTCCCCTAATTTATTTTTTTAATCCACCTCTCGTATTATCCCACAACTGTTAACATGTAAATTTATCTAAATGAGTTTAATATATATACGTAGTGTGTGCTATGATATATGGTGTTATGTTATTGGCTTTACTATAGTTATTGTGTGAGTATTAAAGTGGACCTGTCATCAGTAACTTTACAAGTCTACATCAATAAATTCCTGATGTATCAACACCATCATGTTTCAGAAAAGCTCCACCCTCTATAATTAACCAATTGCCTACCAGGCCAATTCTGATGTTCCTCTTCTAAATGTAAAAAAATCAGTATTTCATTTCGCTAGAAAATTACTTAGAACTCCAAAACATTATATATTTTTAAGTAGAGGCCTGAGAGAATAAAATGGTTGGTGTTGTAATATTCTATGCCACACGTTATTTGTGGAGCTGTTTTTCAAACACAATTTTTCTTTTGAAAAAATACACTTTAATTAACTTTGACCCCTTGGCGCTGGCGCCTCCCGGCCATTTAAGGGTTTCAGAAGCTGCGAAGCGGGGTGGGTTTTAGGGTCATGTGACCGCCGTGATTCGCTGTCACGGTAGTCACATGATCGGGAAAGGTCCCTATCGCAAGAGATCAGGACCTTTCCGTGAGTACTGGACATGTGTGTCGGGAGCGCGCAGGGTGCACGCTCTCAGCACATATGTTTTTCTTAATTGCACGCAAATGTGCGGCCGCTCGGCGTCAAGGCCCAGGCAGGAGGTTAATGCAAAAAAACAGAATATAATACCCAATTGTTTGGTAAAATATAAAATATGAAACAGGAGAGTGGAAGGAAAGCAGCACAAGGGGTAGCCTCTAATTAGCCACTCAGATCACTTTTACATTGTTGTAGAGCATCACTGTTTAAATAAAAAAAAGATACCAGGGTCAGATTTGCAGCTGCAGCCATCACCCTGGTATAACCACTCAAACCCAGTGACATACAGGTCCATCATTGTGTAGCGTGTGGTTAAAATGGACCTGTCCTCAGTAACTTTTAGTCTACATGAATAACTTCCTGATGTGTCCCCAGCATCATGTTTTAGAAAAGCTCCACCTTTTCACAATCAAAACCACCCTTAGAGTAATATTAAACCCTCAACATATTTTAGTTCAACACATCGATCACAATAAAATAAACATTCCTCGGTAAACTATTTGTAAAAATTCTTACCCCAGCACTTGCAGTTTACAACTTTTCAATGCTTTTGGTTCCTACCCTTCCAGTGCTGCTTCCCTGATCTTTTGGGCATCACAGGAAAGAGTTTACAATTGACAGTACAGTCTCCAGCCAGTCTGTTAGCTTGGAGAAGGGAGAGGAGGAGGACTGGAGTGCGTTGCCCCCATAGACTACAGGGCTGTGTGTTCAGATTGCTCTCCAAATTGCAGTTGACAGACAGTGAGGAGGTGTTGTATTGCCTGCTTTAACCACTAGAGCCATGCTCTAGTGTGCTAAAACTATATGCATTGCACTTGGTTCTGGGGCTTTTGCAGAGTGGTTCCATTCACTTGAATGCCACAGCTGCAAAGCAAAGCACTGGGTGCAAGGCATGTGTTCACCCCTGGCTGCTGCCTCTGCAGCCAAAGGGGATAGCAGTTGAGTGGCGGCAAAAGCATGGCTAAGCCTTAGCATTTTAACGCTCTCCCCCAACCGCTAGTGTGATTGAGTCCTTACCATGAAAAATATATATCTTTTTCTTTTCCAAGAATTATTATAAAAATTATTATGTGCCTTCTCAGTGTGTCTAGATATTTCTTTTACAAAGAATTTTATTATAGAATAGATAGGAGCAAAGAATCAGTCAAAAACAAATGCATTGACCAACAGAAATTAAGACATACAAGGTATTCGAGGAATATTCCAGAATATGTACTGGTGGGGAGACATAGAATTAAACTGTATACTTAAGTGCCATGTATATAAAAAAAAACAAACAAAAAAAAAAAAAAAAAAGGGAGAAAACAATGAGTAAACAATTAGAGAGCAATGACAATATAAACTCTAAGGAAAAATTGTCTATATATTTCTATGCTAGCCCAGCTCCTCTGTCCCTCCCCTTACCTCCCTACATTATTATTATTATTATACAGGATTTATATGGCGCCAACAGTTTGCTCAGCGCTTTACACTATAATGGGAGACAATACAGCAACAATGCAATTCAATACAAGAGGGTTAGGGGGGCCCTGCTCCTTGGAGCTTACAATCTACACATATTTTTATGTACCATAGCTGCTGGGGAAGGAGCAAACAGGAGTTTATTATTATTATAATACAATATTTACATAGCATGGACAGTTTGCAAAATAAATTGAAGCAGTACAGTTACAGAACAATTCAAGACAAATGGGTTAGGAGGACCCTGCTCATAAGAGGTTACAATATAAAAATACAGATCAGTCATTCTCAACTAGGGTTCCATAGAACCCTATAGTTCCTCCATAGGCTGTTGAGGGGTTCTTGAACTGTGGCTGATTGACATCCCATCTGATGGTGCTGCATAGTTCTGGGTCCAACACTACAAGGTGCAGCCAGCAGAATGACACCAATGATCTTTTTAGCTGTCTGTAAGGTTGCCATTTGACCACCACTGTAAGGGTCATTCTTCATTGCTCACAAATCACATACAAAGGTCAAGTAGCAGAAAACTGTTTCAGGGAGGTCTACCCTTCAGTGTCCTTTTTTTTTTAATCTAAGTACAATGTATCTAGCATGTATCTACCATGTAGGCCCTGGCTTTCTAAATATGGTGTTCCCCAAAGGGTAAGAGTATTAATGGCCAATAAGGAGCAATCAAAGTCTGTTGGCAAATCTAGCAAACTTTCAACTATCACAGACCTCTTCATCTCTCACTCCCTCAACCTACTTGCTATTACCAAAACCTGGCTGCAGGATTCCGACTCTGTCTCTCTGCACTCTCCCATGGTGGCCTCCTCTGTACTCACTCTCCCAGACCCAGTGGACGAAAAGGGGGTGGAGTTGGACTTCTTCTTTCCCCACAAAGCATGTTTCAGGTTCTTCCTGCGCCTCCCTCTCTGTCCCTCTGTTTTTTTGAAGTGCATTGTATTCGTCTCTTTTCTCCTGTTTGTCTGAGTATCACAATCATCTACCAGCCTCCGGGCCCAGTTTCACGCTTTATTGATGACTTCTCGAAATGGCTACCATACTTTCTCTCCTCTGAGGTGCCTGCCATCATCCTCGATGACTTTAACATCCTAGTCAATGTTAACACCTCAGCCCCTTCTCAACTACTCAACTTAACTTACCTTACCTTCCTCTTTTAATCTAACCCAATAGAAACAATCCACCACCCACTCTAACAGCAACACCATCGACCTTGTATTCTCCCACCTATGCAGTCCCTGTAACCTCTCTAACACCTCTCTACCTCTCTCTGATCACAACGTTATCAGCCTCACACTCTCTCTGTCTCCTACCTCCTATGCTTCTAACCAGCAAACCGTTACCTGTAGAAACCTCCATCACCTCAGCCCTGACCTTCTTCCCTCTGCTACTAAGTGCCCCTATGATAAAATTGCACCCCTGTCCTGCCCAGACCTGGCCACATCTTCCTACAACAACCATCTCTCATGCTCCCTGGACCCACTTCTTCCTCTCTCCACACACAGAACCAGGCCTCACCTGTCACAACCCTGGCAAGCAGACACCAGAAGTTTCAAGAGACGCAGCCTCCCTGAAATCCCTGAAGACTATACCCTCTACAAATCCGCCCTTCTCAAATACAACTCTGGCCTCCATGCTGCTAAACAAACCTACTACAACACCCTCATCAAAACCCTCTCATCCAATCCTCGTCAACTCTTTTCTACCCTTAATTCCTTACTCCACCCCCCCCCCCCCCTGCCTCCACCCACCAACTTACTTACTGCACAGGAGATTGCCAGTCATTTCAAGAACAAGTTTGACACAATTTGTGATGAAATCTCCAGTGTCAGGCTTCCTCCTACAACCAACATACCAGGCTCAACACCATGCTCAACACTCTCCTCCTTCGACCCTGTTACCAACAAGGAAGTTACCGAACTCCTTTCCAAGGCTTATTTCACCACCTGTCCCCTCACGATTATTGCAGCCTTCTTCCTACTCTATTCTAAACTCTCTAACCCACATCTTCAAGCTCTCACTCTCCATGGGCACCTTTTCCTCCCCGCTCAAACATGCACTGGTTACCCCCATACTTAAAAAAAACCCTCACTGGACCCCACCTGTTTAAATAACTTAAGAACCATCTTCCTGCTCCAATTTGCCTCCAAGCTTCTCAAGCACCTTGTTCACAACCATGTAAACTGCTACCTCACCGACAACAACCTT